CATCCCAACGCGTGTTCCTGCAGGACAGGTGTTCGTGCACTGCCGGGAGGGTTACAGCCGCTCCCCCACGCTGGTCATCGCCTACCTCATGCTCCGGCAGAACATGGACGTCAAGACTGCCCTCTGCACCGTCCGGCAGAAGCGGGAGATCGGCCCCAACGACGGCTTCCTGAGGCAGCTCTGCCAGCTCAACGAGCGGCTGCTGAAGGAGGGCAAGCTGAAGCCCTAGGACGGGGAGAGAGCGCCGTAGCACTTTTTTTTTTTTTAAGTTTCTCAAACCTTTAGAGGACATCTTAGGTGCTTTAGAGAGCCCCCCCAAACCCCAGCCACCAAGCTAAAGAGAGACAGGATTCCTGCTCGGCCGGTGGAAGTGTCGTTCTGGAACTCTGGGACTGCCTTTGGAGGTGGCACGAAATTGTGTCACCGTTCGGAGGTGTTGCAATAAAGAGGTGTTTTTAGAGGGGTAACTCCAGTGATAACAGCTGTCTTCACATGTATGTCAGAGCCCCTGAAGACTCCATAGCATATGTGGTTTGCATTGACACTGAGTGTGATTCATTTAAGCTTTGTCTTGTGTCTCACCAGGGCACGAGTTTCTGAAAGCCCCGACACGTCTCTTCACTCACTCTTAAAACAAGCACTGTAATTTCTAAAGCTTCTTTTTCGTGCACAGAGGTGCCTGATGTTTGAATGTAGGAGCTGAAAGGAATGGAGAAGTGTATATATTTATGCACAGATGCACTGGTTTGTAAAATGAAGTGTATGCAGTGTTTAGTGTGGATTTATGCAATACACAGTGTGTGATAGTAAAGCCATTCAGAGCCCATTCTTGATGGGCTTTCCAAGAATAGTTGTACCTCTTGCTGTTGTGATTGACACGAAATAGTGTGTTATTAAATGCCCTTTTATTTTTGTTTTGAAGTCATACTAGAAAAAATGTCAACAGCAAATGCTGAGGAAAAGACTTGAGCAAGGAAGAAAAAATGTTTGTATTTAGAAGTGCTTGTACTGGATGTATGATAAAGTCCTAAGTATCAGAATGTGATGGCTTTCAAAGTGTCTTTATTCCTTATTTACTATCACTGTTTATCAACATAGAATAGAATGAGCACACATACTTCCAGCAGGGCAGCACAGGTGTGCTTTCAAAGCAGTTTACAGAAGGATACTCTTGACTTCTTGCTTGCATGGCGTCATTAAACAGAAATGAGAATTGTAACGTACCACACTGTATAGGAAATATTTACTTTCTATTAAAATAAATGACGTCTGGATTCTGTTTGGCATCCAGAGGAGCTGAGTCATTGCAATGTTGGGAGAGGGAGCTTTGTTTACAGTGTGCCTGACTTAGTGTTTAAATATGTACCTGTGAGTTGCAGGACTGTATTAATGCAAAGGATCTCCCACTGCAAACTTGGAATTGTTGGTTAAACTAACAGAAACCAGGGTGTTCCCCTTTTAACCTGTGCTTTAATGTAGTTCTAGACTGAAAAATCTTAACCCTACTTGAAACAGAAACACTCTTCGTGTTAGTACCACATGTAACCCCAGAGCTAGTTTTGTCTACTCAGTTCAGTAATCAAAAATCACAAAGATCATACGTTGTTTTACTTCTGGTTATTGGGGTTGTGTGGTCTGGGGAGGGGGGAGTGGCAAGGGAAAGTTCTGTGTAGCTTTATTGAAATTAAACTCCAGAGGTGATTGTTCTGCTTGAAGACCAGCCTTATTCTGTTTCCTTGAACAGGATGGAACTGCCAAATCAAGTAACCTTTGCTCTTTTGTGGGGAAAACTCTACATAATGTTTCCTGTCACCCCTCTACAGTCAGTCAGTATTCAGTGCTTGCTTTGAATCAGGATGGTTCAGTAATAACAAACAGTAATCAGTTCCATGGGCTAATTACATACCTGTTTGCTTTCTCCCCTTTTATCAGGATTAAATTAATTGCTTCTTCAAAATTCCTAGTTATTGATTTCATGCTGGGTGGCTTGGGAAATAGAATACTGACCTTATCTTTTCTACAATACTGACTTTTTCCTACTGCAGTCTTATTTATAAATTATCCTTTTAAAATTTTTACTATGAGCATAGATTTTTATTTTTTTTTGGTCTTGTCTCACACCATGTATTCTTAATACCTGTCTGCACTGCAAGGGAAAAAAATGGAGATTCATGTGCAGTCACTTTGTCTTTTACCTGTTACTTGGAAGTCAAAGTTCCAATCCATTAAAGAGCTAAGAAACCATTAGGCATTAGAAACCATTAGGCATTAGGCATTAGAAGTTTCCATAAATTGTAAGAAGATAGGAGTTGTCAGATTAAAGCCAGAATGGTTTATTAATGTTGAGTCTGTTCACCTTACGGCAATGTTTTTGTACTTGTCAGTATCAAGAACAAATCAAGACATTGGGGAATGTTTTTATATTCAAGATACTCTTTTACTTCACAGAACACTCTCACTTTAGTGGTAACTTCAGTGGGACTCTGGCCCATTTGTCTCAGTATAATAAAACTGATTGAACAAATGTTTTGTAATATGAGGATGGAGAAGGATAAGTAAGACCATGTTATAAATTGATTTTACAAATTGAGACAATATGTCCTATTTTAAACTAGGCAACTCAGAAATGAAACCATTTCTATCTCTGCTTTTAGAGTAGGCTAAAAATAGTTAGAATGTCAGAGCAGTGCTCCATTAATGGATCATGTTGCTGGCTGGCTGACTCACCAGATGGAGCTATAGGCTTGTTATTCTTCCCTAGTCATCACTGAGTCCCTGAACAATACTATTGTATGAATCCAGTGTGTGCTTATCACTGAAAAAGGCAAGCCACCAGGATGATTTATCAGACTCTGGTGGGAGAATACTAAGATTCCATTTACTCTTGGCTGCTTGCATGAGATCACACAACAGCATTCAGGCTGTTGTATTCACACTGTGATATGTGACACAGCAAAATTCTTATGAGACACATAAAAGTTCCATGAGCAAGACTGTCTTAGCAGCATTTTAGAAAAAAACCTGTTTGAGTAGCAAATAAGTTCTTTATCATGGTAAAAACTGGGCTACTATCCTTTCTGCTGTTGTTCTTTGCTGAGAAGGAGGAAGATATATTGACACAAATTTGTTTTTCAACTCAGAGAGCTTGCAGCGTTCTTACACGCAGTGCTTTTCATCTCCAAGGCCTTTTATGCAGATTAATTAATTCTCACATCACTCACAGCACCAAGCATAATCATGTTGCAGGAGAAAAGAGTGTCCAGTTCTAATACAGGCTTAGCATCCCAAAATGGAATTACAATAAAACATATTGTGGCTGCTAGTCCTGCATTTGGATGCTATAATTCTAAGTTTGAAATAACTTCAAGAAATGTTCACTCCCCCTTTCTAACTTCATTAACTCTTAAGTACAAAATTCCTGGGCAGTGTGTAAAATATGAGCCACTGACCACAGATGAGCTTAAATTGAACATCTTAGGGCCTGGATACAGAACAGAACCCCTTTGGCCCAGGTGTGGACAGAGTGAGCACCTGAAGTTAGAAGTGACAGAACCAATTTCAGAAGCTGATTTGGATGTGCCTGCCTACATTGTAGCCTGGCAGTGCAAGCACTTTGGGACAGATGCCTGAGTCAGGAAGCAGCAGCAGCAGATTCAGGCAAAGGACATGATGCCAGTTCACCCCTTGGACCTGCTCCCCTAATGTGTCTGATTCCTTCTTAGCAGAGTGGGCTGGTTTGGGCTGGGGTACAGTTAATTTTAGTCCTAGTTGCTGCTGTGGGGCTCTGTTCTGGATTTGTGCTAAACACAGTGATAATAATACAGAGGTGTTTTTGTTGTCAGCATATCAGAGGCAAGTTACTTGACAACAGTCTGTATTAAAGAATGATATCCCAACTGGCTGAGGAGGAAAAAAATCTTATAAAAAGAAAACAGTATGTTGTATTCCTCCATGAAAACAGAGTAATTTCTGAGATGGGAAAGAAGGAAGGGGAACTAACAGTAAGGGTACATTGTTGTGTGTAACACAATGCATGATTTCTTTTAGACAAGGAAGACTGCCACAGATGAGATTTTAAAACATGACACCTGAATACATCTTGGGCATAGATGCCCCAGACATAAGGTCATCAATTCTTTCTTTCTGTTGGTTGTATCATGACTGGAAATCAGTCTGGTCGTGTTCTTGTGTTTAAAATAAGCAAATGTCCTGTATTCAACATTTGCATAGAACATCAGCAGAAGTAGTAGTATGCACTGTTTGTTTTGGGTATTTTTTCCAAGTGTTAAAAATGTAAGAGAGAGCACATCAAAAAGTATGATTTACAACATCCTGGCTGTTTACTCTGAAAAACGTATTCCAAATAGCTATTTTTAGGAAAAACTAAACAAAACAGCTTCTCACATTGAAATGAAGCTCTTCCCTGTTTCTTACACTATATTTGTGAAACAAAATGCAGAGCTCCTTGTTTTGGAAGGGAGAAAAAAAGGTACCCCAAGTCCAATCATTTCCCTGCAGAGACTGACAAGCAGAACTACTGAGCTACAGTTTCTAGATTTACTTACTTTACACAGCGAGCAAGGGGAGGAGGAATAGCAAGAGCAAAAGTAAAAAGCCTGAAAAACCTTTGGAAAAGACAATAGCCAAAAATTCAGACATGGATGGAGGAACAAGCAGTTTTTAATCATAACACTGTTAGAAAAAAAAGCTGCAGAAAAGACTTGTTGGGTTTCAATTCATCCAAGTCTTGTCAATCACCATTTGTTGCCAGGCACAGAAATGAAGTGAATATGAGAAGTTTTTGCATAAGAGTTGTCGAATATTGTCACTAACCCACCCCCACACACCCATTTTATTTCACACTGACAAAAGCTGAGATGAATGAGTTGTGGTCTGGCCCTTCCCACTTCGTATAGTCATTGGCTGGCTTGCTTCTAAAAAGGATTTTAAAAAGGGGAATAATGTGCCTTTGCCTTGGATCTGAAGCTGTCAGGGTGCTGAAAAGCTGATCTGTGAGCTGCCACCATGCAGATCTCTTGGGCTGTGTGCGCTGTCTGGGTCTTGGCACAAATCGCATTTCGGTCTGTGGAAGGGTGGCAGGTGTTTAAAAATGATGCTACAGAAATCATTCCTGAAATCACTGAGAACACAGAAACACCGATGGAGCAGACTTTCAGCAACAACAACAACACAATGAATCAGGCAAAACATGGAGGAAGACACATACAGCAAGCTCCAGACCCTAACGGTAAGAAAAATATCATTATTACTGTTTTGGACCCTAAGAGAAAATTCGTGAAAGAGTACTTTTTATGTGTTTGTTTATTAAAACTTTTAGGTGTGGCCCAAATGCTTTAAGTGATAAAGATTTACATCTACTGTTGAAGAAGTATGAATATAAAGGTCAGAAGGAATAGTTTGGAGTTTAGTGGTGACAACATGGTCTATCTGTAGTAGATGTTACTTAACATTTCTCTGTGATTTGTGCTCTCAAGCATCGTGAGGAAATATCACAATTTCTCTCTTTAATGTCAGGATGGGGGAGTGGGTTGACAGTGGAGATGCAAGTTCTTAATATTTAGGAAGACCCACACTAGTTGTGACTGAGATCACACATCAAAAATGGCACATGGAGGTTGTGTTCAGCTCCAGGAGAGAAGTGTGCTGTTCACTGTCTTTTGCTAACAACCAGATCTTCCAAAAGATTCCAGCAGCCAAAAATGCTTCATAATATGTTGTCACATTTGACCAAACATCCAGCTTTGGCAGTGATGCAAAACACATGTTTTGTGAGGAGAGACAGAGGATGAGAAGCTAACACCAAGCTGAGAAAGGTAGTTTTAAAAAGTTTTCCACTGCAGATCTGAATTATCCTTCTTTTTCTGGGGGCAACTGAAAGGCAATTGTGATTTTCTACTGTAGCTGTCAGTGAAGGTGTTTAAAACCATAGTATTAACAATATTTTAGAAGAGAGAGTAATGTTTTTGAGAGTGTGACTTTAGAGGATTCTTACATTCCTAAGAGGGGGAGCACCTTGTTTCTCACAGTCAGCCCCACCAACCACCTGGTCACAGGTTGGTTTTGTTGTTACATCTGAATACCTTCATTTTTTAGCCTTTTACTACTCTGACATCAACTGATGGGAGTCTGCCCCACTTATATGTGTATATTTTTCAAAGAAAAATACTAAAGAAATCAAGGGTAAAGGAGACTGGACAGTTATTCAAGATATACAATGGTCTTGCATACTTATTTTAACATCTTTAACACAAGGAATCAAAATTGTGGTCCAAAGTGGCCTGACCTTTCTGGAACAGATGATGTTGCATCAGCCCATGAATAATTTTGCACTGTGTTGAACCTGCACACTTACAGGACAGGACATATATGCACAGAAAATAAGCCTATATAGCTGAGGCAAATGCCTGTATATTTAATTGTATATTTAATTGTTCCTGTCTATGTGTTATGGTGGTGCAATACACCTGATTCAAAGCATTATTTTTTGCAGACAGACATAATTTTCTTCAATGCTTAGTAAATTTGGGATTATTAGGCTACATGGACATGCAGTTCAGTTGTCACTATTTTTGTCAAAGCTGGCAAGGATTGTTTAATTTCATTAATGCAGTCCCTCAAACTTTTAAATAATAAAATCTTGCTAGTTGTTCTTTGACAAACATAAATCTGAGCACCAAAAATCCTGTTTCTGTACTTCAGAAGAAAACCAAAAATTAAGATGTTCCTCCAAATACTGTTCTAGCATTAATGACTCAGGGTCAGACTTCTTTTTTGCTGAACTAAGGAGGGAAGCACCTTGTGTACAGTGAGGAGAATGGGCCTAACAAACACAGCCTTCTCTCTGGGAGCTGACCTTTGAAGGCTTTCACCACAAGTAACATTCCTGAGTTAAAACTGGCCTTTTGACTAAGAGAAGAACATTAACATGTGTGCATCTAGATGAAGTTATTTGACAAACGCTTTCAAAAATCAAATTCTGTGTCTTCCAAACAGGTCAATTAGCCAAGCATGTCATTTGGAAAAAGAGGCACTTTTGGAAAAAGTTACATTCCTACAATTGGAAAGTTTGTCTAAGTCCTTAAAGCTGAAAAAATCATGTATTTACTAATGTTTCATTTGCCTGTAGCTGTCCATTGAGAAAAAGGGGGGAGGGAAACTGTATAGTTCCTAATCAGCCAGAAGGTGCCTCTAGCTGCCTGAAGGAAATCATGTGGGACAGGTGGAATTATCCCAGAGAGCAGTAAACCTGGAAAAGCTGATGTCTGAATAGTGGGATTCCTTAAAGCTGTTGTTACCTGCTATTTCTCTAACCTGGAACAGATTATGGTAGCTAAAATTCACTTAAGGAACACTTTCTTTGTCGCAAAAGAGTTTAAATCTGGAGTCAGCATCTGAAGTCAATCGAGTTAAACCAGAGCAGTGGGGGAAGGGGTTGCCCACAGGTAAATGAAACCAGGAGAAAACTATCAAATTTTCCCATGAAGTGTTGGCTGCTGCTGGGGCTGCACTTCAGGAGCTCCACTGCCCCCCCTGCACAACCCTGCCAGGGCATGCACCTCGTGGCAAGAGAAGGATTTCATTCATAAATTTGTACCGCGTCGTTCAAGGGTCTCACAATTAGAGCAGAAGCTGCACAAGGGAGCGTTCTGAAACATTTCTCCCAAAAACCTTTCTGTTCAAGACATTTAGCTCGCGTCTACCTCAGAGAGGGATATCTCCCGTGGAAACGCGAAAGATGGAGAAGTAATTAACGTGTTTCTTGCTTGCAGATGCTTCTGACTTCAGCTGCAGGGAGATGAGAACCACCCGCTATGTGACGGAGGGGTCCTGCCGCAGTGTCAAGCCCGTCAAGGAGCTCGTCTGCTCCGGCCAGTGCGTCCCCTCTCACCTCCTCCCCAACTCCATCGGCAGGGGGAAGTGGTGGCGGCAGAACGCCCTGGATTATCGCTGCATCCCCGCCCACACCCGCACCCACCGCATCCAGATGTCCTGCCCCGAGGAAGAGACTCGGACTTACAAATTCCGAGCCGTCACCTCCTGCAAGTGCAAGCGCTACACCCGCTACCACAACCAGTCGGAGCTGAAGGACTTCGGGAAGGACAATGCCAGGCCTCAGAAGAACAAGAAGCCCCATCTGTCCAGAGCCAGGAGCAGCAAATCTAACCAGCACGAGTTAGAAAATGCTTATTAGGAGGTGGCTCTGGGTGACACAGACTAGCAGCTCTGGATACTTTGCAAAATCCGTCCAAAGGCACTCAGAGGCCACAGCATGACGTTCTGACTGCAGCAGGTTCCAATTCCTTCTGCTAAGCTGGGTCAAATGCTCACATAGGCAAAAAAAAAAATCTTTCAGATTATAGCACTTATGGTCTGATAAGAAAATGAGGCAAACCAAGCTGGAGGTAGCAACCTCTAAATTCAGTGTGAAAGGAGAGGTGCAGGTTGGAGATTCACGAGAGGTTGTGTGGCTTGTCCGAGCAGGCAGGCAGAGGAAAGGGAAGCAGCTGTGGTGACAATCAGGCTTTGCTAGAAATCATTCCACTCACTTCAAGTGAAAAGAGCATTGAGATCCCTTTCCCACACAAGTGCCGTGATGCAGGACAAGCATCCAATTAGGGAAGCATCAGGAGAGTTCACACTCTCTGAATAAGCTGTAGAAAGTTAGGTATAGCAGGAATTTCAGTAGTTATGGTGACTGAAGTCAAATTGTTGGGAAATGAACATTCTGTCAGATGTCCTCACATAGCAGGAGTTTCCTCCAAAACACAAAAATCAAAACAGAAGTAAAAGCGTGACAAATCTGTCTCATACCTTTACCCAAAAGACTGTAGGATCAGCAGATTCAAAGCTGAGATTTGGCAACTAAAACCATATTTGATTTAGAAACAGTGGCTTGGTTTAGGAACAATTCAACAAATCCTACTAGGTGAAGCAGATTCATGAAATGCATGGTCCTCTCAAACCAGATAACCTCACTGATGTTTGTCCTGCAAACAGCTAGAGATGTGCAGAGTTTAACATAAAAGGTACTGATTATTCCTGATTTCCTAGAACACATTTGACTTCAGTATCAGCTTAGATACCTCTATTTACATTTTCTATTCTGTAGAGTTTGGACTATCTGGCCACATATTTTGTAGCATTAAGACTGTGCAAGCCAAGTTCTGGGCACACGGTGGTGGCTCTGCATTAAAAGTGAGCCTCTGCTAATTTTGAAGTCATGAATTCCTCTAGAAAAAGTCTTTAGCATATGCAGCTTTGGTAAGTCTTTAGTTTGGCAGCAACTTTCCTTTACTTAGCTTCTCAACACTCAGACTAATGTTTGTGTTTTTACATTAAAGAATACTATTAGAAAGTGAGTTGTCACATACTGTATACATCTGGTAGAATATGCTGAAATCATATAAACTGTGGCAATTTACAGTGTTGATAGATTTTTCAATTATTTTATGTGGGACCAGAACCTAGAGAGACAAGGTATTGTTTAAGAGAGTGAATTACATATTTATTTTTTTTCCCAGAAGTTATTTATGCAATGTTTTTCCTTGTAGAAAATGAGAAGTAACACTGCTTTAAAAATATTAGTCTGTTATTTTTAATTTTAAATACATTGTTAATAAAGTAGAAACAACGATTAATTGTAGGAAGACTCATTGATTTTCAGCTACATTATAAAGCTGATTTGCTGCAAAGCCAGTGATTTTACAGAACAGGCAGGGTGTCAACTCCAATTTCTGTGATAGTGTCAAGGTCTTTAATTCTAATAACCTACACATCTCTAAAGAAACTCCATCCTGGAACTTCTTGCTCCAGTGGATGATGTTTCTCATGGGAAAAGTTTTCCTGGGCAGATGAGTATTCTGCTTCCCCTGGGGAAGAAAAACTTACCTGATTTCAGTTTCCCTCCTGCTCCCAGTGACATTTCCAGATTCATATGTTCACAACCTGATAAAGCCACAAAAAACCCCCAAGAAATCTGTGAACTATCAATCAAGATTTCTTGATTGAAATCTGATTGCTTCAGATACCTCTCATTGGAAAAAAAAAATGAAAAATCAAGTGTGGAATCCCTTTGCAAGTGCTGCCAAGCAAGAGTTGAAAATTTTTACAATTTGATGTTGTAGACCTGTGCTCATTTTCCTTTATCCTTTAAGAAACATTTTCCAGTGAAGTCAGGGGAAACAGCTTGGACTGTACATAGTGTGCAGACCTTTCAACACAGCTGCAAAGCTGAACAGCTTTTTCAAGACAAGCAGTATATAAGGTTTCCTTTCACTGCTATAGTTTACATCATATAAAAGCCTAATATAAACCTTTGTCATACCTGCAACATCATTTTCCAGACTTGTCTTTGACTTCATGAATTTGACACTTGGGGCTTCATTTTCAGAATTCAGCACGAACACCTGCAAGCAGTGCTGAAGTGAGAAAAGCAGTTCAGTTCCTCTGTTCTGCAGCTAAAGATACTGGAATACTGGTTTTAAAATGTTGACTGTGATAAGCCAGTGACAGAGACTTACTCCATCTCAGTCTTCCTCCTGGCTCTCAGGCAGTTCAGGTGAATCAGCAATGTCTTTCTCCCAAATATTTCACCTGAAAGGTGTCCTCTTCCCCCCCAAAAAACACGTTCTCCCGCTCATTCTTGTCTACCAAAAGTGCAAACATTTCCTGCTCTTAAGCTGCCACTCAGAATCTTGCAGTTTTTCTGACTTTCCAACACAAGGATTGGTTCTTTCCAAGCTATAAAAGCTTTTACAAGAATCCCAAGGGACGGGGAGTCCTGAGGCACTTTTACTGCTGTATTTCCTCTCAACCCCCATCCTGATTGTAGTGACTTCTCACTGGTTTCTTACCACAGGATAAAAGTGGAGGAGAAGTGCAGTCAGCATGTATGATTAGGCTCCTGAAGCAGCCGCCTCCAACCACCACTTCTGCAATTTTTGTTATCAGGAGACTTAAAATTGTCAGTGTGCCTACTTTATTTGGTTTTTTTCTGGCGAAAATACAATTCTACTATCGTTCAATAAAAAAAAAAATAAACCTACAGACAGCAGAAACAGCCTGCTGGTGTCCACAAGATCCCAAAGATTTTGCGTGAGGTTCAACTCCTTAATTACAAATTGCACAACAAAGGACAAAACTTTACACTGTGAGGTCTTAAGCCAAGAAAATACGTTATGTTGTGTTCTGCAAGTGTGGTTGAGAAAGTCAGCATTGTGAAATATGGAGGGAATAAACACCTATTTTTTTAGCCATATGACATCAACTTATAATTAGCTTGTTTCACTCAAAATTAGTGCAGCGTATGGGCACACAGAAGATCTTCTCTATAATAAACAGGCTCAAAAGTCTTAAATTATCATATTTATATGTAGCTTGAGTTTGGATTGAACATACTGTGCAGATGTAACCTGAAATTTGAATAATCTGGAACTACTCTTGACAGGCAAGGAGAGAAAGTCCATTTCTAAAATAACATTTAAAATAAAGCCAGTACAAGTTGCAGCACTTGCAACACAGCTGATGTTGTTTAGGTGTACAAAAAACAGTGCAGCTGCTCCCCTTTCAGTCTTAGAGCCATCAAAGGACAGCTCAGCACCAAGTTTTTCCCAGTTCTATACACAGGGATTGACATTTCTTTCCTGTTCCCGGAACTGTGGGAACAGTTTTGACACCGAATGTTGGAGAGCTGTAACATCAAGCTGCAGAGTTTCATGGACAAACCTCATGATGCCTTGTAGCCACGTCATTGAATTAGGAATATGATGCTTTGCTGTATTTTTTTTATACCCAAATGAATGTTATAGAGTACAATAAACATACTGTGCCTGAAGACCAAAGGGAAGGATGCAATGATGATTCTTCTATCTTTATTAACCATTTCTGATGCTGTTTCATGAACCAGCTATTTCTTTGAATCCTGAAAGCTTTCACTTTTCTTTTTAAGAGGACAAGTCCTTGCTCTGAAAACGGGGTAATAAAAGTAATCAGTAAAACCTGAGTAGAGGTAAAACTCATCAGCACACACCCTGCTAATTCTGAAATAAAAGTACAGCAGACACAAAGAGAATCTTCAAAACATCCCATCTCTACCACATCACAATATATGGCTAAACTGGACACTTCCAGGGGTGGGGCAGCCACAGCTTCTCTGGGCAACCTGTGCCAGGACCTCCCCACCCTCACAGGGAAAGATTTCTTCCTAAAATCTAACCTAAGCCCACCCTCTTCCCATCCCATTTAAGACCATTGCCCCTCATCCTATCACTAGACCCCTGACACAAAGACCTTCCCCCTGTTTCCTGCCTTCCCCCTGTTTCCTGTCAGCCCCAGGTAGGTATTGGAAGACTGCTCTGAGGAATTCTGGAGCCTTCTCTTCTCCAGGCTGAGCAGCCCCCAACCCTTTCAGCCTGTCCTTGCATGGGAGGTGCTCCAGCCCCCTGATCATCTTTGTGGTGCTCCACTGGACCCCCTCAAGGAGGTCTGGGCTTTTCCCAGGAGCCCCCAGAACAGGACACAACACTCCTGCTGGGGGGGTCTCACAGAGTGGAGTAGAGGGGGAGAATCACTTCCTTTGACCTGCTGCTCACGCTGCTTTTCCTGCAGCCCAGGATGGGATTGACTTCCCAGCTGGGTCATGTTCAGATTTTCCATCCACTGATATCCCCAAGTCCTTCTCTGCAGGGCTGCTCACACCCCACTCACTGCCCAGCCCGTTGCCAGGTGTGGGATTGCCCTGGCCCAGGGGCAGGACCTTGCACTTTGCCTTGTTGAACTTCATGATGTTCACACAGGCTTTTCCCTCTGGCCTGTCCAGGTCCCTCTGGATGGCATCCCTTCCAGAGCATCAACCACACTGCTCAGCTTGGGGGCATTTTGGGTACTTAAATACTCGTGTCTAAGCCTTTAATCCACCCCAACCCTGCCTCTCCCAGGGGCTGACTGGTTCACAGGGATGAAGTTCACAGCACAGCCACTTTAGCCATCTCAGGTGGGGCAGTGTGTGATGTGAATCCCTTTTTTTGCCCCATATTGGCTGCTCAGATTCCAACTGATACAGGTGGGGCTGTCACAACACTTCAGAACTTGCACTTTAGATTGAAATTGTGAATTTGTACAGCACCCAGGATGTGAAAATGTCGTTCTATTCTTGGTGTCCACAAGGCTAATAATCATAATTTTCATCTCAAGAGGAAGTAGCACTAACTCCTTGACTGAATTACAAATCCAAAGTCACACATCTCCCTACTGAAGACTCCCACATCAGACTGTTTGTAGTATTAACCTTAAGATTTCTTGTTCGTGGCTTTCCAGCCAATTTAAATATAGCCTCAAACCAAGAAATAAAAGGGTATTTATTCCATGGTTATCAAGCCCCTAAATTAAACAGACATTCTTATCACTTCGCCAACAATTTAATGTTTGTGGCATGAGGTTATTTCAATTAAGAAAACAGTTCAGCTCTGGCTAAATAAATAAGTTATGTCATTCTTCATTCAGGCTACCAGATTCTTTGGTGTAAAAACTTCCCTCAGGAGAGGTCTTGGGACATGGTGGCTCCTCTGAGACTATTTACATCTCTCAATTTCTCTAATCTCTTCTTCCTTCCCTCCTCCTGGCTATTTCCTTCCCCTTTCACTATAAACTGGCCAGTATTTAACTCTAATGCTTCCAGTCTGCCCAACATGCTTTTAGAATTGAGTGGTTGTTGGTTTGTTGTTTTGTTGGGGT